TCACTGTCTGAAAGGACACTGATGTCCTGTCTGGACCTTCACTGTCTTAAAGGACACTGATGTCCTGTCTGGACCTTCCTGTCTGGACCTTCACTGTCTGAAAGGACACCGATGTCCTGTCTGGACCTTTGTCACTGTTTGAGCACTCTTTGCTCAGCCAGGACTTTTAAAATCCTGGTTGACCCGTTCATCTGTAAGTTTTATTTGTTAGCTGAAATGTGCTGCATTCCTTTCAAACTTTGTGCATGCTGCTTAAATTGCAGCCTGTTTTTCCTCTAAATGATTTTATATTCTTCTGATTATAATTCTATAAATTGTTACAGTTTAATATTTTCATGTAAGGGATGATCTGAGAACATGCTTCCATGAACGTATGGACTGGTTTCACTCATCTCTTTGGTCACTCTGATGCTTGGCAGATGAAGCTTCAGGTTTAGTCACTGCAGTTCTAAAAGTTAGGACGTGGTGTTCAACGGAAATAAAAACAGAATCCATGATTGTTTATTTATAGATGTTTAAAATAAGACACTGTTTCGTTTGTAGGAAATAATAAGATAATTAAAAAGAACTTGAAGTAGTTCCAGCTCCATGTTTCCTCTGAGGAACGCCGTCAGGTGGGACCTGGGTAAACAGATGACTTTCATGAGTATTCAGAGAAGGTCGTTTAACAAGAGAGTAGAGGAGACAATGACTTTCTATAAGGAGCATTTATTACAAAACCAATAGCACATTGATAAATTGTCCAGCTTACGAAGGACACTCTTATAAGCATGTCTGTAAATTGTCTCCGTGATCCAAAAGACGTAAATGTTTATTTAAAAAACGGTGCGTTTTGCAGCCAATGTAAACAAAGATTGATTTCTATATAGATAACCAAGTCTCACTCTAACCTTAGATTGTAAAACATTAACATGCTGTGAAAAGGACAGAGCACCATCGATCCAAATTTCCAGATATTTATAAACTGTTACCTCTTCTGTAATATCACTGTTTACAGTGGTGAAGTCCATAGAGGTGGGTATGGTTCCTCCTCCATGACTTTACATTTAAGGACAAATTTAAGTCGGTATAGGCCTGCTGGATTTCAAGAAAACCACCTGCAAGGAACTTCAACCTCATCCAGAGTAGAAACAAAACCATATAAAATGGTGTCATCGGCATATAAATGAATGATGTTGGCTTCGTTACCGTATTGAACCGGTAGTTTGCTGTTTTGTTTGCAGCTTATAACAAGTCAAACGTCAGTAAAGTCCAGGGCTCGGTAAAGACGTGATGTTTGGTGTGAACGTGCTCCGTGTCTCACATGTTTCTCCTCTCACCTCCATGTTCAGGCAGAGACGGCAGCTAACAGGATCTGCAAGGTGCTGGCTGTCAATCAGGAGAACGAGCAGCTCATGGAGGACTATGAGAAGCTGGCCAGTGATGTGAGCACACCCCCACCTTTCCCCACCAATACCTACACCTTCCAACCCTTTCTGCATGTTCCTGCCTCTGAGCCGGTCCCTCTGCCCTCCACTCCTTGGGGGGTCGCTGCTCCACTCAGGTGCAGGAAGAGAAACAAAACCTGAAGGCCGTCGGTCTTCTATCAGATCGATCACAAAAAGCTCGTAGTTCTTCCAAATGTAGACGTTAAAAAGATAAATTTTTATACAATACAAGATGCTCACAGGACGGCATGGTTGTACAGTGGTTAGTGATGTTGTCTCACAGCAGGAAGGAGTTAGTGTGAAGACCTAAAGCCTCCATGTCAGGTTCATTTGAAACTAAATTATCCCTTAGTGGGAGTGAGGGTGGATGGTTGTCTCAGTGTCCATGTGATGGACAGGAGACATGTCCAGGGTGTCCCCCGCTGAACTAGAGAAACACTGGAATGACCGGCCCTTGTGCCTCCATCTTGAGGAGTCCTCTGTGCAGCAACATGGTGGTTCTTGTCAGCAGAACATCAACATCAGATGAAAGAGCTCGAGTCCAAAGTTCGGACAATAATTTATCGAATGATTGGCGGCAGCTCTTCAAAGACTGCAGCTGTTTCTTCAGGAGGTAAATGTGACCCGTTCAGTTTCAGTCCATCACGTTTATTGATGTAAACGTTAACAGAAAACCTTCATCAATCACATCTTTACACGGAGGTTAAAGAAGGTGAGTCTGGGGTCAGGAGGTTGCTGGTTTGAACTCCCACAACAGAGCAAATCATTCAAGTGGAAAGGTGAAGCACCCCCTCCTGCCTCCACCCTCATTTGTCCAACTGTGGGCCATTGAGCAAGGCGCTGAACCCCCCCAGCTGCTCCCGGAGAGTCTCTGCTCCACATGTGATGGGAGACCAACAGAGTTTAATAATTATTAATATTAATAATAAAAGGACTGTTTCCACGTGGAATAGTAGAGTAGTACAAAAAGCACTTCTCAAGATGGCTGCTAACCCTAACCTCGCTGCCGCCAGCGTCCGTTTCAGTGTTTCTCCAGATGAATTCAGCCGACCTGAGACTTTTGTTTTGTATTTAAGGTTTTCTTTTAGCTGTAACAGCTCAGTTTCAGCTTCTTGAACAAACTTCAGCTGACATTCAGCTTTTAATTAGCTGTATTTCAGCTGTCTTTCATTTGTCATTCAGCTGACATTCAGCTGACATTCAGCTTTTAATCAGCTGTATTTCAGCTGTTATTCATTTGTCATTCAGCTGTCTTTCAGCTGACATTCAGCTTTTAACCAGCTGTATTTCAGCTGTCATTCATTTGTCTTTCAGCTGTCTTTCAGCTGTCTTTCAGCTGTCAGCGTTTGATGTTGATCTGCTTGTCAAAGACGAGCTGTTTGAGCTCTAACTGTGTAGAAATCAAGTTTTATTTATGAAACGTGAAACCGATATTTCAGATGATTAGCTAAAAGCTTCTTTTTTCAGTTTTTGATCAACCTGAGCAGGTGTTTTCTAGCAGGTTGATTATTTCTCCTGCTCAGACTTCACTGCAGCATGTTATCAAAGCGTTTGAAGAGGAAGTCATTTAAAACAAACATTTTTTTAAATCTGTAACATAATAATGATCTGTAATATACTAATAATAATAATAATCTGCAATATAATATTTGTAATCTAATCTAAAGAACTCTGCAGTGATGGTGTCAGCCTGAACTGATAAAACCACAAACAAAAACTATCAAATCAAAAGTATTTTGTTTATTAGTGAACTTTTTGAGATAACAATTTATTTTGTTTTTTCTTTTTGTCACTCATTTACATAAAAACATTTAATTTCATCCTTTTCTCACGGCCACGCTCCTCGGTTTGTCTCTTCTGTTTACTGTTCTTTCCCATCATCCTGCTCTTCCTGCATCTCTGACCTTTGACCCTTACATCTCACACACACACACACCCACACCCAGCTGCTGGAGTGGATCCGCCGCACCATCCCCTGGCTGGAGAACCGGCTGCCTGAGAACACCATGCAGGCCATGCAGCAGAAGCTGGAGGACTTCAGAGACTACCGCCGGCTCCACAAGCCCCCCAAGGTGCAGGAGAAGTGCCAGCTGGAGATCAACTTCAACACCCTGCAGACCAAGCTGCGGCTCAGCAACAGGCCCGCCTTCATGCCCTCCGAGGGCCGGATGGTGTCGGTACGTCCCACACGCTGGCCAGGAGGTGCATGTCAGTCACTTTCAGGTCCAACTGGCTTTTACTACTTTGATGGTGAGTCCAAGACCCCCTCCAGGGGCCGGGCTCAGACTGTATCTGACAGGAAGTGAATAACTCCATGTTTGTGTAATGAATCCAGTTAGACGTGAGTTATATGTGTAACGGTGGATCAGAGGGTGTGCAGTGAAACAGAGCTCTCAAATAAAACCCGTTCACTCACAGCGTGATCGTTTTGTAGAGTCAGGAAATATTAATGTTGACCTGATTCACCAGACTTTGGGCACCCAGTATCACATCAAGAGGTTTCACAGGAATAACTCCAGAGAGTTTTATGGTCTGAAGGTGGCGAACCTGTGAGTTCAGATCTAAAGACTCGGTGGAATGAAGGAAAACAAGACAACATACAGGGTCATTCAGTTTATCCAGGGAACAAAAATCATCCTTTAGATGACGACAACGCAACAAATGTTCTGACGTCTGGTCAGGCCGGGTTACACAGTATTGCTCCCTGCTTCGGCTGTGCTGAAAGTGAAACTTAAGTGAATGGCCATGGCTTGAAAGTAGTCTTCATGCGCCCTCTGCTGGATGCATTGTACAATTACAGCTGGTTCCAGCATTTTATGGATGAAAATTAAATGTTGGCACATAATAGGACAATTATCACAGATACCAACACAAACGTCTATATCCGCCTAAAATATTGGGCCTACCGATATATCGGCTGGGCTCTAGTAGAAATGTTTCGTCTTTTATACAAAATAATTCTTCAGTCTGAGGAGCTGCAACAAACTCAGTCTTGTAAGCAGCACCTTCTCATGGTGGATCAACCAGTTGTCTGGTAACGATGTGGAGGAGATTATTAAATAAATCTGGGAGTGGGGTGAAGTTGTCTTCATGAGAAGAAAAGCAGGTTTCATGTAGTTCATTTTGCTTTGAAGCACATGTTCAGAACCAGGCTGTGACTCCAGTGAAGGCCCAGGCTTGTTCTGAGGTTCACCTCCTTTTCTGGCCCTGCTCAGGACATTAACCATGCATGGGGAGGTCTGGAGGGGGCGGAGAAGGGCTATGAAGAGTGGCTGCTCAACGAAATCCGTAGGCTGGAGAGACTTGACCACCTGGCTGAGAAGTTTCGTCAGAAAGCTGCGATTCATGAAGCCTGGACTGAAGGTACGAGATGTTTGATCACATTCATGGACCTCATGGTGCGTAAACGATGCGTGCGTCTGATGAGTTGGGTGTTGCAGGAAAGGAGGAGCTGCTGCAGAAGCTGGACTACGAGACGGCCTCTCTGTCGGAGATCAAGGCCCTGCTGAAGAAGCACGAGGCGTTTGAGAGCGATCTGGCTGCACATCAGGACCGCGTGGAGCAGATCGCAGCCATCGCTCAGGAGCTGAAGTAAGACCTGCAGGAACAAAACGACACCAAGTGGACGATGAACGATGCAGATTAACCTGTTTGCTTCTGCAGCGAGCTGGACTACTACGACTCCCCCAGCGTGAACGCTCGCTGTCAGCGGATCTGTGATCAGTGGGACGCCCTGGGAGGCCTGACCCAGAAACGCAGCGAGGCTCTGCAGGTACCGAGTGACACGAGACCCGGGACGGTTTTTACTATCAGAACCTTCAGGGTTTCAAGGAGCCATCGAGAGGACAAAACTCTTCATCGATGAAAGACTTTTATTTTGAAAGATCTTCTTAATAGGAACCACCCCCAAATAAAAATGAATAAATAAATGAAATTCATAATTTTATACAAAAGTGAATAAACTTAAAGGCCTAGCAACACTTCAAGGACAGTTTCAGTCATATTTAGTTTTGTAATGACTTTCAGCTACTACCACACCAGACTTTAGCCTCTCTCTGTTGATTAGCTGTGGCAGCCATCTTGAATTGGATCGACTTCAAAAGTTTTTGTTGTATGTAGAAGCACATCTACAGCTTTCTGTTGAGTGGTTCATGAAATATTTTGCTAACAGACACACAGAGACCTGCAGACATGAAGTGTTGGAACTCCTGCAGCTATAAAAACTTTACATTTAGTTGTTTTGAATGTGTGCGTGGTTCTGAACAGAGGACAGAGAAGCTGCTGGAGACCATCGACCAGCTGTACCTGGAGTTCGCCAAAAGAGCTGCACCGTTCAACAACTGGATGGAGGGTGCCATGGAGGACCTGCAGGACACCTTCATCGTCCACACCATCGAGGAGATCCAGGTGAGCCGCACGGGACTGCACCGACATAAACAAACATGAATAAACAACAACAACAAAGCTCAGTTTATCACGTGTGGCACAGAGAAGTCAAATAATCTGATTGTTTTTTGGGCTCAACGCTGGAACGTCAAACAGAACGGAGCAAGAAGATCGATCAGAGTTCAAAACATCTCACAGGGTTTTAAAGACTGGTCCTTATTGAACTAAACCATTTCCTTTAGAGCAACCAAAAACAGGAACTAAACTACGTGGACCGTTGTTTCCACACATCTCTACTCTGTTTTTTCATGTTTCATCAGTACCTCTTTCTACATTTCCTCTTTACTTTATCAGGCTCCTTTTGGTTTGTCAACAACAACATTCTTTATATACAGTGGTGATCTAACTTGAATAAAAACAGGAGGGTGAAACCGATCCATCCCTCTTCTATCCATGATGTGGTCATATGGACACCAGGTCCAGGAGAAACCCAGACGCCCCTCTGCCAAGAGACTCTCCAGCTCCTCCTGGGGGTCCCTGAGGCATTCCCTGACCAGACAGGATGTAGTGACCACAGTCTCAACTCTCATGTTCAACACCAGTTAAAGGCCTGCCCACTGCACACCCAGCCCCACTCAGCCCGGTTTATGGGACCACCTTGATTGAACTTGTGGACTGCTCCGCGGTGACAATGTTCATGTAAGCAGACAGCAGCCGTTGATTGGCCAGTGGAACTACGTCACTGGATGACCCACCCAGCAAAACTGCAAACTACATCTGAACCTCCACTTCCTCATCGTGTTGACGGACGGAGCCACAAGAAATGAGCGTATTTACAGAGAGATATCGGAGATGATGGTGCAGCATGGCTACACCCGGACAGATAAGCAGTGCCAGGATAAGATAAAATAATAATAATAATACTTTATTTATAAAATCCTTTAAAACAAACACAGCTGCAACAAAGTGCTGTACATATAAAATCAAGAACATTTAAACAGATTAAACAGTTGTTAAAAACATTAAGATCGATTAAAAACAGTGCAGAGCAAATTCAGTCTGTGCTAAATTCCAGGTAGTAAAAATAATTTTTTAAAAGAGTTTTACAACTGGACTGTGAAGGGTCTCGTCTGGTCGGAAGAGGGAGATAAAGACATTGAAGTCAGAATATAAGGTGATTAAAGACCTTAACAAGCGAGTGGCTCCAACATAATGATTTGTTATGATCCCGCCCACAACAACTTATGATCCCGCCCACAACAACTTGTTATTCACCAACAACTTATGATCCCACCCACAACAACTTATGATCCCGCCCACAA